CCCTCATTCATAAAACAACTAGCAATGGCAATAGCCTGAAAATGGAAACAAAAAGTCCATTAATGATATGTACTCCCTCCATATGATTCTGTATGAATGGACTATGGAATTTTAAGGATAAAGCGTAATTCCACAAGACCACAACAAGAATCCTTTTACTGCACAAGTACATATACAAGTGGTTCCAATCATTAAACCATAGTACTTTACAACAGTTGAATTTCAATAAACTTAAATTCACTTTGATAAGCTAAACAAAAAGACATTAATGATTGATAAGATTAGATTAAATATTACTACTATAGTGTAAATGCTTTGAACTTAAGTACACAACTATATTGACATTCAAATTTCTCCGGCTTTAAAACTTGGAATAGGTTTTCTTTGCTACCTGGAGGGTTTCTCCAAGCCCCATCTCATCAGCAATGAGACATCTTCCGCCCCTCCTCAGCCCAAACCTTATTCCCTCTAGCTGAAAAGGTAGAAGGGTGTCTAGCAATGTTTTAGGAAGTCCGTTAATCAACTCATTGACCTTCTCATCTGGAAGATGCTCTGGCCTGCAAGGTATTCATCTCCCAGGAATGATGGAATGTGAAAGCTTTTCAACTACATTAAGTGTTCCCCAAGGTATTTCTTCACACTCAACATCTTTACACCCCTTAATGGACCTCAGAACTGCTTCATAATCTGTAAGATTATACACACAACCCCTTCCACCTCCAGTATTTTGAGTGTAGTGTGATGGCACAACCTGATACAAAATCCAGCAGACCTGAATCCTTTAAAATTTCCTTAACTTCAAACAAGAGAAAATTATTACCAGAACTATTACTACTTTCTCTACGTTCCTTATACTGAATTTCAGTCAGTAACAATGGGCCAAGGCTTTTTTCACTTAGTATATTACAAGGGATTTGTCGTTTTTTACAGTACCAGTATAAAGGGCATTGAATATGCACTACTTAGCTACTAAGAATAGAAAATGAACCATTTTACTGGGCCTGGAGCATATATTTTAAATCCTCCATACTTGCACCCAATTTATGGGTTCGGGTATAGATTTATTTAATTATCTTGTTGTGTGACCAATCCACACACACTTAGCATGTCCACTGTACAGAGTTTTGTAGAAAAAATATCCTCTTCTTTAAAATTTGAAGGTCAGAATTGGTGCAGAGATCATGTCATCATCACTAGAATCTCTTATAATGAAGAACAAGCGAATACAATTAATAGGGAATCCTTGATCATCTGTATCATTAAGGAAATATTATTGGCAAATCTTCAATATGTAAATTCAACGTCCCTTATACAGTTTAAAGTAAGATCTGGAAGGCAGAATAATAAACATAAGGGAAAGCATTGAATAAATGGTTCTTACATATGAGAGTATATCTCTAAGCTTTTCGAAGCAGGCTTCTTGACCAGGGTAAGGATGACCCTGTACAGGTACGGGAGTGACAGAGAACGAGTCTGCAGAGCAAACTTCTAGCCTGGCCCGGAATCTCTCGAGGGGAGGAGACAATGACTCGGGCTTGTGAAGCGGGTTGGGCGCAGAAATTGGATCAGGTTTGTGAAAAACGGCATTAGATGGAGTGGATTCGGACGAGGGTTTTTGACATTTCAGAAGCTTCCAAGATGCTTGATTGGTTTTGCGCTTCGCTAGGGCCGCTAGCAGGTTTGCAAATGCGCGTCTTCTCTGCTCTGCCGTAATTTCATCCTTTCCGACTTCCATGTTTGGATTGCTGCAACTTGGAGCTTGGATGGTAGAAATGGCTAGACAACAGGGTCAATAATGACAAAGTGGATATGAAGTAATAAAAGTTTTGGAACACTATTTTATAAACCATATCTGTAGAAAATGATACGGAGTATATTGCTAATATTTATCGTTCTATATTTAAGATTTCATAATAACAAACAAACATTCGATTTTGGGGCATATTTAAAGGGAGTGTAAAAATTATGTTGACTTTTCAAAAATGTCTTACTTTTTATGAGGGTAGCGATGAATTGAATGAGAAAATAAGGGGGAGCAGCGACTTATTTTAGAGGTATTTTAAATATTTTACCTTTAAAAGTTTATTATTATAAGAAACAGACAATTTATTTTGGAACAGACAAAAAACGAAAAAAATGCAATTTAAATTGGGACGAAGAGAGTATGATGTTTTACTTAAAAAGTAAACAATAAATAGAAATACGTTGTCCATTTCTTGTAAGCGTAGAGAATCATACATTGCTAATATTTATTTTACTAAATTTGGAATTTGATAACAAAAAATTAACATCCGCCATAATCATAATAGGCATACAAATAGTTAATACTCTAAAAATTTATCAAAAGAGCATGCCGAATACATTACATATAGAATACTTTCCAACACTTTTAGTACCTTACAAAGAAAAATAGCTAACATTTAGGCTTAAAAGCATCATAGTGAAACATTCAATTAAGAACATAATGATCGTTAAAATATTAATAAAAAATAATCTTCATCACTCGTTACCAATTTGTAAGCATGATAGATGACCATGTACGCTAAAGCATTTTCAACACTTTTCCATAAAATCAGAGTTCCGATTACTCTTGCACTTGAATTGTAACATGAACTCTCAAAATTTCCAATTCATGCTTTAATTCTGCAATAAATACAGTAATTTAGAATTTATAAAAATATATTGTTTTAAATAGAATTTTATTAAAATAAGTTTATAAACATGTTAAATAAAATAATAAAAAAATGGTCATATTTGACCGCAACCAACCCGATTAAATCTTAAATTGAATCTGAATTGAAAATTTAAATATTAAAATTGACTCGTCAAAATTAAACCCAAACCCGAGCTAATGTGGGTCGGAATTGAATATAATCAAGGGAGAAAAACCAAAATAGCACTCTAAGAGCATTAAAATACTCTAAATAGCAGTGCTATATGTTTCGTACATGTGATTCCAATTTTGACCTTTAATTAAACAACAAATGTTCATTATGCACTGCCAAAAAATATGATTGTTTTGGGCAGTGTGCGTGGTTGTACACTTGTAATTGTGTTGTGGGCAGTGTAGTTTTTTATATGTGAGTATTTAATATGCCAGTGTAGTTTTTTATATGTGAGTATTTAATGTGGCAGTGTAGAATGGATATATGTTGTTATATTTTACGGCAGTGCGTAAATATATTATTATGTTCCTTAATTTCATGTTGTACTGTAATATCCATTGATTTATGTGGCAGTGATTTCATGTATAAATTTTACACTCTCAAAAAGTGTATGACTATTTCCATGTATGAATTTCACACTGCCCAAAAAATGTATAGCTCTTTTTATGTATGAATTTCATACTGTTTTTATGTATGAATTCCACACTGCCAAAAATGTATATGACATGTTTTCATTTATGAATTCTACACTGCCCAAAAATGTACGACTAATTTCGTGAATAATCTATTACATCAAAACACACAGTCCAAACATGGGTTTGGCTTTTTTTGGTCTTTATTGATTTTGTTTAATGTTAGAAGATGTTAGTATTGGACATATGTTCAATTTCATTTATGTGGTCCCGAAAAGAAATGAATAATGGAAGGTATTATGTTGTAAATTTCAAGACTTTGTAAGCATCATACACTGTAATATTATGTTGAATTGTGCGACATAGCACAATGGCCAAAACATAAGACATAACATACTGCCAAAAAGTATACCTAGATCACAAACATTCCACACTGCCAAAAATCTTTGAGCTTACACTTCATACTTTGTTTATTAAAGTTATTCAAGCACTAGTCATTTTGGTGATTTTTTTGTATCCGCTTCCAATGGAACTCAATGAATAATTTATTACATTCGGATTTTTAGTTATAAATCCCATTTGACCAAAACACACTAGGCAAACATGGTCATTGGACATTTAAAAAAAGTGTAGCTAGAAGTTGACTATTCCACACTGCCAAAAAAATATTAGCCCCTATTCAGTAACATGTTTCGATAACGAACTCTTGAATGTTTGAACCAATAGTCATAGAATGAAGCACATGGCTTTTGCACAATATGAAACTCAATTCGTAATTCATAAGATTGGTAGTTTTATATGTATGTCTAATTTCACTCCCATATTATTAATGGAAGTTAATGAAGTTCATACAAATTAAATTTGTTTAGGCCGTGAACTTTTATACACGGCCACAGTATATATGAAAGACAAATTCATTGCCAGAAAGTGTTTGCAGAACATGATCAATTCGTACTGCCAAAATATTTATAGCCACCATATTGAGTAACACATTTCATAACAATCTCTTTCATGGTAAAACTCTATTGTCATAAAATCAATCACAAGCTGTTTGCACAATATGAAAGTCAAATAATAATTTATAACATTGGTAGTTTTATATGTAAGTCCCATTGTCACCACTTGTTTATTGAATTTTTTATGTAGTTTTTTTTAGTATATAATTCTTATTTTTTTTAGTTATACACCAATTTTTACTTATATTGATTTGAAAATAACTTCAATCAAATATCGCAAATCGAATAAGAGCCCTTTTTTGGGATGAAGGAAGTATTTATAATTGGCATATTTTTATGATATAATTTTGATATATCGTATTTTTATTATATATTTATTCAAAACTACATTTAATTGATTGAAGAAATGAATTTGATAAAAAAGAGTACTATGCCACTATCCACAAAGTATACATTATGTGAGTTCGAATTTGATATAGGAGTTGAAAGATGAATTGAAATCATTGATAGTGAGATAGATAAAAGGGATTGACAATATAAGGGTATGATTGGAAGAGATTGACAACATAAATAGCGAATTTGGTAAAAAACAATAAGCAGTGCTATATGCGTAGTATTAGATGAGTTAGAGTGCTACGTAGGGTGATTTCTTTATAATCAAACTAATCAGCCCATTTAAGCCCCTTACAAAAAAAATTATTTTAAACTAGACCTGTGCAAACAAGGGTCAGACCGTCCGGCCCGCCCAGCCCGCCCTTTAAAATGGGCGGATATGGACAATCTTTAATTAAATACATTTATTTTATTATTAATTACCTAGACAATATAAATTTTAAAATTTTCTTTAATTCATGTATAATGGTTCATATCACTCACCATTCTTAAACAAAAATTAATAGTCTTTTAATTAATCTGTATGATGGTTTTATTAATTATGTAACAATATTTCTATTATGTTTTTCATTAAAATGTGGCGAGTGATAATTTTATTTTAAACATTTGAAAACAAGTTTAATATTTTCTTTTTGATTTTTTTGTGTAAAAATATTTTCTTGATGTTTTATCCGGGCCGGGCGGCCCGGTGGGTAGTTCGGCCTGCTAAGATGGGCGGGTATGGGGAAAGAGTTTAGTCCATCAAATCCGGGCCTGGCCAAGCCCGCCCATGCAAATGGGCTAATAATTTGTATCAAGCCCGGCCGAGATCCGGCCCGGATCCTTATTTGCACAAGTGTGTTTTAAACTAATTTACCAGCCCAAATGTATAAACCTAGCCCATTACAACCCTTCAACCCAGCCCACTAATAAAACTTAAATATATTTTCTACCCTAGCTAACCGACCAAAACCGGAATCTCTTTCTCTCTCTCACTCGCTCCATTTTCTGCCTTTCGCTTGTCTCGCCCTCTCCCTCTCTGTCTCTACGCCATCGAGATGATTTTCGATGGATTTTCGTTTATGGATATAAAATTTTTATTTCTATGGATCTTTCTCTCTTTATCTTTTTACGAATTCTTTCTTTCTCATGTAACTCGTTTTTTTAAATTAATAATCAAATATCCGATTTTATATATATGTGTGTATATATATATATATATATATATATATATATATATATATTAAATTTAAAATGCAAATGAGTAAAAAAGTTTCTAAATAAAATACGGAGTATGTAGTTAAAATAGAAATGCACATGTATATAATTAAAGTAATAATAAAATGGAATATGTGCTGCACAGTTTTAAAAAGTGTATAAATAATTGTATTTTAAAAATAAAGTTTAAATAACATATTAAAATTGATAAAACAATTTTCTATATTTCAAAAATTAAATGTGTTAGGATGAACAAAATACTTTAATAGAAATAATTATTATTTAAGTTAGAAAACGAAAGATTAGGAAATTGATAGATTTCATAAAAATATACGAAGTAATAAAATAGGAGTAATGATTATTTAATATAAAAATTAAAATTTATGTTAGAAAGCAAAAGATTTTCTACAAAGATTGTAATTACTCGGTATTTAATTACCGATTGCTACATGCATGTGAGCACTAGAAATCAACACCATGTTTCGGAGTACTCGGGTGCAAATATATGCTTTGTACTCTGACAGGGCCGGCCCAATAGGGGGACGAAGTGTCCGTCCGGGCCGGGCCCAAAAATATTAGGGGCACAATTTTTTTTAAAGTATTATATATATATATGTAAATAAGCCCAGCTTCCTAGGCCCAGTCCACCCTGACCCACCCAACTGACCCTAGTTATTACCCCAATGGCTCAATTCCTCCGCTTGTAGCAAAAATCGGATAGAAGAAAATAAAGCTTCCTATAGAACACTAAGAAATCGGACCGGAAGAAAGAAGTGAGCTGAGTCGCCGCCCGCAGCCTCCACCGCTAGACGGCGAGTCGCCAACCTGCACGGCTCCACCCTCCAGGTAATTAGTTATAGATTTCCAATTTTGTAATTTTTATTTCTTAAATTTTAATTTTCTTTGTTTCATTTTTTTAGATTTAAAATCTATGGTCAATTATTAATTTTTAATTTGAAATCTTTTCTAATTTAATTCTTTGAAATAGAATGAATGAATGGTTCTATATGTTATTTATTTGATTTGGATGAATTGATTTGAATTTGTTATTTATGATAATGATATATTTATATTTGAAAAACTAAAAATAAAAAAAAATAAAAACTGATAAATTGATGAATTGATATGAATTTATGATTTATAAAAAAAATTAAAACTGAAAAGAAAAAAAATTAAAAAAAAGAAAAATTGACGAATTGATATTAGTTTATGATTAATTTGTTTATTTATTTGCTTGCTTTTTTCAGTTTTTTATTCTAGATTTTACTCAGTAGAATTTATGAATTTGGATTTTATTTCAGATATAATTCAATATGACTCCTAAACAATTATCTGGTGGTCAAAAAAGAAAAAAGAGAAAATGAGATGAAGAAATAAGAAAGTCTCAAGCCAGAGATCTATATAAGTTTATGAAACATAATGCTGAAGACGAAGAAGTAGAAGTAAAAGAAATGGAAGAGCAAGAGCATCTACACATAGAGCAAGAACATGTTGAAGAGGAAAATTTTAGAGCCTTTTAGTATAATACTTTTAGGGTCTTTTTTCTGTATCGCCCAGGCTGATAATCCTCGGGACCAGCCCTGGTACTCTCCTTCCATGTTTTCTCCATTCACCCTCAATTGTGTTTTCTACCTTTGACCAACCCCATCCATCAATTCTCCCTCTATCTCGTTCCAAGCAGCAAATCAAGGCCATAAATAGTTACCAAGAGATGAGAAGTAGCGGAAGCAAGCTAAAAGGATTGTCCCACTCAATACTCCTTCCAAGTCCATTTTACATCATTTCAAGTGGATCCACTTCGAGGCAAATGCCCCCAATTAATTTTTTGTAATAAAGCTTAAAAATTTTGGAAAGCTGTAAGTCCGTATTCTGTAACGGTCTCTTCATTTATCTTCCCCACTCTTAGAAAATTCTTGATGAAAATGCACGGCTCGCTTGCACATCAGATCCGAATGCAAAGCTTAATTTGTGGTCCAAATTTCTTGTACAAATCTAGTAAAAACCCAAGACAATCTCCCATTTCACTCAATAGATCGTCCTTACTTTGGCACTCCTTGCGTCCTTGTCTCCATAACTTTCAATTCAAAACCAATACGAAGAGGAGTTCAATCGTCTCTGCTTCGAACAGGAAAAGGAGATCCATTGGGTCTTCGAGATCAACTAAGATCCTGCTGGAATCGGCGTACTTGGTAGCATCCTGGCTCAAAATTCTTCCAGAGCCTTTGGACCTTCTGATAAGGGAATTTTGTGGTGGAGATGGGGGCCGCGGTTTCTTCTCCAGGGGGCGTGGAGGGGGGGATGGTTCCGGTGGGAAGAGGAAATGGGATTGGATTGTTTTGGGAGTGTTGGTGGTTATTGGATTCGCCGTCTTGTCATTGGCATTGTGGAGAGAAGTTGATTTAGGTATTGCAGTTTTGGGCTTGATCTTGTTTTTTCTTTCGGTTAGTGTGTGGAGAAGAAGGGTCTTGGATTGGGTTTTGGGGTTCTGCTGTTGTGCGTTGGGAGGTTTTGTGTTCAATGAAGATTTGCAGAGAGGGTTCAAGTTTCCTGAGACAATGAAGACCGGCAAGCGAAGGAAAAGAAGATGATGGTCTTCGCTCTTGAGAGAGAGGGGAGTTCCACAGATTAAAGGTTTGTTTGCAATTCTTCTTCTTTTTTTTTATTTATGAAGATGATATTTTGATCTTAAGGTGTTTGCTAATATTCCTCTTTGAAATGGAATGTACCAAAGGAGTTGATGGCTAGAAGCTCCTTGTAATTTGATTGAGATTGCTGATTTCCTGACACAACTCACAAGTGGTTACTAGGGCCTTTTAGTTTTTATTGCTAAATGTTATAACCTAGATTAGTTTGAATTGAATTTCTGAATGATGTGTTTCGGAATATGAATTTATATTTCCAATCAGAATTTGATTTAAATTACTTGTTTGAAAATTCTAATAATTTGGATTTGAATTTAGACCAAATTCTTCTAATTCAAAATTAAGCAAATTATAAATCCACATATCAATTGGTTTGTGTTGCTGTCTTTATCAATTTCAAAATTCAAATTCTAAAAATGAAATTCCATGACTTTCCAAACATTATTTAGAATTTGAAATTATGAGATTTTAAATACTGGAATTGAAATTTAAGATTTTTAAATGATTTCTAGTTTTCAAATAATTGTAGTTAAAAAATAAAGTTTATATAACATATTAAAAATGATAAAACAGTTTTTTGTATTTCAAAAATGTTAGGATGAACAAAATACTTTAATAGAAATAATAATTATTTAAGTTAGAAAACAAAATCTTAGAAAGTTGATAGATGTCATAAAAATATAATGAATTATTTAATGTAAAATTTAAAATTTATGTTAGGAAGCAAAAGATTTTGTACAACAATTATAATTACTCAGTATTTAATTACCGATGCTACATGCATGTGACTATGTGAGCACTAGAAATCAACACCATGTTTCGGAGTACTCGGGTATGTGTATATATACTTTGTACTCTCCATCCATGTTTTCTCCATGGACCATGCACACTTACACCAAAAAATGTACCCCATTTGTACACCACAGTTATGCACAAACATTTTGATGGTTTATACCGACACAAGTGTTGGTGCGTTAACAAAAATTTACACGGACATAAAGTGTTGGTGCGTTAACAAAAATTAATTTTACACCAACACAAAATGTTGGTGCAAACCTGCGGGGTACAAATTGGGGTATAAATGTTGGGGTACACATAGCTTAATCCTTTCTCCATTCACCCTCAAATCCTCAATTGTGTTTTCTACCTTTGACCAACACTATCCATCAATTCTCCCTCTATCTCGTTCCAAGCAGCTAATCAAGCCCATAAATAGCTACCAAGAGATGAAAAGTAGCGGCAGCAAGGTAAAACGATTTTCCCACTCAATATTCCTTCCAAGTCCATTTTCTTACTTAGATCATTTCCAGTGACGAATCCACTTCTATAGAGTAGGAGGCAAATGCCTCCAACTAATTTTTTGTAATAAAGTTAAAAAATTAAATTTTATGCATATACGCCTCCAAACAAAAAAGAATGTGACCTCTTATTTTACTTTCAAAAAAAAAAAGAAGAATGTGACCCCATCTAATATGGCCAAATTTCACTTTTTGTTTATTCTTTTTTTGGAAAGTACTCCATCCGTCTCAGTGTATTTGTCCAATTTGACTTTTTTTAGTCAAACTGGGTAAACTTTGATCTTTAATTAAATAAAAACTATAATTTATTTTATCATAAAAATGACTTTATTAGATTTATCGTATTGAGAATTTTCAAAATTATAATTCATTATGCTAATATGCAATATAAGTTGAAAGTAATTGGAGTTCAAAGTTTATCCAGTTTGACTCGAAAAAGTTAAACTGAACAAACACACTGGACGGAGGTAGTATATTTCCGTATATAACTAATTGTCTATAAAATAAAATTTTTCATTACCTATTAAAAAATGTATTACATTCAATAAATATTTGAAATAAATTTCATTTTTTTTATCATTTCATTTTTTTATAATTTCAAATAGACTATCAAAAATTAAGTCCGCGACAGAACATGTCTGTCGCTTATCAGACAACGGAACATGTCCATTGCAGGGTCTTCGTCGCACTTGCTTTTGCGTCCAAAAAGATGCGAGAGATCCTAAGTCGTCGCAAATAGTAGTTGCAAGAGAAAATTAGGTGCTTGCCACGGAAATTGTCCGTCATCTCTTGTAGTGAAGGGATTTTTAGTATTAACGAATAAAGTTACTCCCTCCCCATCCTAAATTAAGTCTTGCTTCCTTTTTCAATCGTTTCCAAAAAAGTTTCTCTTTTTTACTTTCCTAATAAAGTAAAAAAATACATTATCTAAAAAAATTTTCTTTTTTCTAAACAAATTTCAATCACTCATTGTTTACTTTGCAACACTTTTATTAAACATGTGAAATAAAAAAAAGACAATTAATTTGGGATGAAAGTAGACCTGTGCAAATAAGGATCCGGGCCGGGCTTGATACAAATTATTAGCCCATTTGCATGGGCGGGCTTGGCCCGGCCCAGATTTTATGGGCTAAACTCTTCACCCATATTTGCCCATCTTAGCGGGCCGAACTGCCCACCGGGTCACCCGGCTCGGATAAAACATCAAGAAAATCTTTTTTACACAACAAAATCAAAAAGAAAAAATTGAACTCGTTTTCAAATGTTTAAAATAAAATTATCATTCGCCACATTTACATAGAAAACATAATAGAAATATTGTTACATAATTAATAAACTCATCATACAGATTCATTCAAAGACTATTTATTTTTGTTTAAGAGGGGTGAGTGATATAAACTATCATCCATGAATTAAAGAAAATTTTAAAATTTATATTGTCTAGGTATTTAATAATAAAGTAAATGTATTTAATGAATATGAGCAGGCCTGTTAGCCTGGATGGGCTAAAAGTAACTTCCAGATCCGCCCAAATACAATTTGGGCTTGGGCCGACCCACCCATATGGGTATTAAAGATTGTCCATTTTAAAGGGCGGGCTGGGCAAGCTTGTTTGCACAGGTCTAGATGAAAGTAATATAAACTATTTTCCAATATTTTAACTAATTTTGTTTAAATGATAGTTAACAATAGATAAAATTTAATATATATGTGTGTGTGTGTAAATATATGATTGACTCCAGTCAAATGATACCTCTTATGGTAAGATGATCAAATGAGTAAAACTCACAATGCCAACTACCAAGCTCATCAGAAATTAAAGTAAAGTTCACCACTTAGATCAACAAAAGGTTACCTTTTTTTAAACTATAAAAATAAAAAAATTAATTAAAAATAAAATAGCAACACCGATCAGCCACTGGTCAGCGACGACCAGCAACTGCAGAGGCTATGACTGGCGAGGGCAGCGGCATGCGGCAGTGGTAGCCGACGGTGGCGGCGCCGGTCAACAAAGGTAGACCGCAGTCAAAGTCCAATCAACATGGGTCACAATCCACTCCTTTCGGTTTTTTTGAAAAAAAAGTGTTAAAAAATAGGTGAGCTTTGCTATATATTCCCTCCATCCGGATATGATCTTCCCAAAGAGAATTATAATCAATCAGCCTCGAACAGTTAAAAAACTAATAATTGTAGAACGCACAATACAAAAAAGAAACATGGGAGGGGGGAAACAAAGAAGCAACATGAACTAGCAAGAAGAAATTCCATTGATTTATCCCATTACATGGGTGAAGCAAGCTCGGTCCACAATAGCGACGAAACAAATTGCGAAACCCAAAATAGCAATGGAGCACAAATCATAACCAAATTCAAAGATTAAAACGATGAAAAGAAGCAAAAAGATGAGACGAAATGAAATCCAAAAAATTTGGATAGATCAGAGATTACCTTGTTCGGAACCACACACTGTTGGCATGTGAGGTACAGTGCGGCGCTTCTGGTCTATTGCTGACAAAGAGAGGAGCAGTCATTCAGGGGGTGTTGGTGACAAAGAGAGGATAGGTGACTCAGGGGAACACGCTATAAAGGATGGGCTGGGCAGAAGCATGAAATATGGGTTGGGAACCTATGGGCTTGGTTTTGTTTTTCGGTCGGTCCAATTTTATAATTTCATAATCGAAAACCAAACTACTTAACCGAAATAACCGTTAGTTATTGAACTAGCAAACGGAAACCAAAAATTTGGTTGGTTCAACTTTCTTGAATGATTAGACGGTGGGTTTGATTAAATTCTCACACCTAACTGTAACAAGGAAATAATCATCAAGAACAATTTAAACAAATAAGATAAAATTAAAAACATACTTCCCATTAAACAAATATAAATGGGTAGAATAAGGACACTTGAAAGAAGAGAAAAAATAATAAAATACAGAGTACAATGTTAGCACAAAGAGAAGGGAGCCTGGAGGGTAAAATGAGGGCAAGAGAGGTACGCCTGGAAGACACCATTAAATAAAAAAAACTCGTAAAAATTAAAAGATTCTAGCCTCCACACAAAAAAATTGAAAATAAAAATACTCCGTATTTAGATTTAGTTACATTTACCCCTAGACCTGGACCGAAAGAAGACACGGCGAAGTGATTGGTGCCGGAAGGGAGACTGGAGGGAAGAACTAGACTTGGCGAAAACAAACAATTAGGCAACACTAAGTGGAGTGACCCGTCGCCTTGGCTTTCATTGGACAATTCATCCAAAGAGTTGTCTTTGGCAAGTCAACTTATCGCCTAATCGACAATTAGGTGACAACTTGATAACCATGCCCACAACCATAGGATAGCGACGATCATGCACCTACGCATAGAGGTAGGCCTAGATCAAATTTATGTGGGGTTGTAAATGGATTTTGACAAGGACCTATGCAAAGCGGAATCTGGAATCTGCCCCTGCGATACTTACCCAAGTCTCATTTTTTAACATCCAAAATCTCTACCGAAAATGTCACAAAAAGCAAGCATGAGGAATACAAAGAAAGCAGTTTACTAGCCTCATCATCCTCAAGCAAATGCACATCAATACAAAGCAAAACTAGAAGATAATTTGATATGAACACAGTATCCAAATTTCTTTTGCATTATGATAGAATAATGGTGTCACTATTTAACAAATGCTTAAGAACAATAAAAGAATGCATAAAAACCATTACCAAAGATCTAAGTCGCTGTAACCAGATTACACAAAAGTAACAATTTCATAGATCTACCATAATATGATCATCTGTTCCACATATATTCAGCAATTTCACAATCTGTTCCTTGATTTAGTTTTTTTATAACTCATGCTAAAAACATTTGTATATAAATTCCAGAATTTATGAAAACA